TGGGCAGCGCTGATCTGTTTGGAGACCGCCAGCGCCTGCTCCGCAAACCGCTCGGCTGCGGCCGAGGGCTGCTCGGGGTAGAAGCGCTGGAACATGCAGGCAAGCTGCCAGCGGGAGCAATGGCCCACGTACTGCTTGAGATCCACACGGCCGGGCCGCACCAGGGCTGGGTCCAGTCTGTTGGGAGACACAGGGGAGCCTTGAACACCTGCTCAAAGGGTCTCTGCAGGGTGGGTCCTGCAGGAAGCCCCCCTCTACACTAGCACAGCCAGCGTCCTGTCTGCAAGGTGCTCTGCACTGTGGGATGGTAAAGGTGGGGAAGAGGTTTGTCCCTGGGGGGCTGAGGGGGGAAAATCAACCTAAAAGAGAGAGCTGGGGAAGGGCTGACTCTGGAGGAGAAGTGCGTCCTGGGAAACAGCTCTCCCCATCTTTGTCCCGTGAGCAACCTCTGAACAACCCTCCAGGCCATCTCGGTCTGGAGTGAGCCAAGCCTGCCACAGGGCAGCGTCTGGCCAGGTGCCGTGAGCCCACGCCACGTCCTGCCAACCCAATGTGCTGCGCGTGGGGCCAGCGTTCCACTCACAGCATGGCCACAACCCCAAAATCCGCAGATCCCCGCGGGGAGGAAGCTGGTGCCTCTCCTGAAGGGCACGACCATGGTCTGAACAGCAAGGAAGCATCTGAGGCTCCAGCAAAGGGGATCCTGATTAGCAATCAAGGGTTTTGCATCCTGAGGGAGGATTCGGGAAACCTGAACCCCAAGTCTTCACACTGGAGGATGGAGCCCTCCATAAAGGTCATCAAAAGAGAGCAAGGTTTTCCCACACCGCCCTCCCTGTTCCCTCGCAGAGGGCAGCTCTAACCTGTCCACGTAGTTGGTGGTCATGAAGACAATCCTGGCCTCCGTGGAGGCCACACCATCCAGTGCGTTGAGGAGGCCGCTAAAGGTCAGGCGCCCCATGCCTTGGTACACAGCCGGGTCTGGGGACAGAGGCGTCTGAGATCACATCCATCGGCCACTCACCCCGCACAATCCTGGCCACCTCCCTATCACCTGAGGCTTCAGCCAAGCTCCCCGCTCTCTCTCCTTCCCCTGAGGCTGACCCTCTGCCTCTCCCTGGCTGGCAGCACATTCACCTTTCCTGCCCACCCGCACCCTGCGAACCCAAAAAGAGAATGGGGGGGGAGGGAAGCCACCCCCTCCCTCATGCTGAAAATAGCTGGGCAGAGAAACGTCTTTGCTTGTGGATAAAGGACCCAAATCTCCCTTTATACGGCCTAGCCAAAACTGGGCAAGGTCCAGCTTGGGCCCTGAGGCCCCAGACAGCTGCCCACTCCTGGTCTCTGCTGGTCCAAACTGCCCCCCAGCACAGCCAGCAAACCTCCCTCCTGCTGCTGGCCCGGGAACGGGGGCACCACTCACTCTCAGTGGCGAGGTCCCGGCTGACGAAAGCAGCGTCCACGTCCTCCAGCAGGATGATGCTCTGCTGCGGTGCCACGCTCAGGAGGTGATTGAGCCGGTCATCGGAGAGGCTGCGGTCGCTGAGGCTCAGCAGGCAGATACTGTACTGCAGCTCCCCGGCCAGGGCTGTGCTGGGAAGGACACAAACCACAGGGGTGAATCACAGTGACAAAGCCCAGAGCAGAGGAAGAACCAGATCTCCCTGCCCGGCAGCAGGGGAGAGGGCAGAGGCATCCCCCCGCAGCGGGGATCAGATACAGGGGGCAGGTGGGAGCCCCCGTGCAGCCCTCTGGTGCCATGCAGCGCTGTCAAAGCAAGGGCGCAAAGGGCTTGTCACCGTGACCTGTCACGGTGCCAGCAATGTGAACGCTGACACCAGGCACCACACAGGAGGCACAGCCCACTCCTGCATTTCAAACCCAAACTCATCCACGCACTCTCACCAGAGACCGCCGTGCCCCAGAGCAGGCAGCTGGCAGGAAAACCGCTGGTAGCCAACTGGCAATACTCACATGAAGCTGCTTTTCCCACAGCCAGGAGGACCATACAGCAGGTAGCCTCTTCGGTAGGGGATCCCTAGGAAGACAGTATCCTTTTAGCAACCAGCTGGGTTGCTCTGAGCTCTCTCTCCCAGGGCTACACCGGAGGAAGACAAGCAGCAGGACAAAATTTCTCTGCAGCTGTCTCCAGAGAGGACCACGAGCATCCTGCCCCACCCCATGGCAGCATCACAGGAACAATGAATTCCATGGCTTATCACGGTTTCCAGGATTGGATTGAACAAGGGGAGTTTGTCCCTTTGCAGACCCAGGCCGGACCTCAGCCCCTGGGCTCGCTCGTTTGCGGGATGTGCTGAGGTGGAGCCCCACAGCCGTGGCTGCAGGGGGGGAAGGAGCCGCGCTGGGCACGGTACAGTGGACACCACGCCAGAGCCTTGCCTCTCTCGCTGTACCACTTGGGGTTGTCGATGAACTCCTTCACGTCCTGGACCAGCCTCTCCGACACACCTTCCTCCAGCACCACCGAGCTGAGAGGCCGCCGGCGGCGGGGGAAGCCGAACTGCCGCCACTCTGCTCCCATGGCCGTGTACATGATCGTCCTCCCCTCCTGCTGCTGCAGCGCCAGCTCCCGGGCTGCAGAGAGAGGCAGAGGGGACAGCTGGCAGGGGAAAGGATCTCTCATGAAGCCCTGGGCGTCTCCAGGGAGCAGGCTGTTCCCAGCAGGAACCCACGCAGCTCCGCTACAGACCTTCGCGGAGGATATTGAAGAAGATCTCCCGGTTGGTGCCCAGCGCAGTGAAGGTGACAGACTCCCAGGGGGTCCCCGTGTGCAGGTCGATCATCTGCTTCTCCCGGTTGCGCTCGATGCGAATCCACTTCCTGCGATACCTGAGGCGGGGAGATGGCGTTGGGGGATGGTGGTTCAGCACCACTCAGCGGAGCCCTGCTCGGGTCGTGCATCAAAGAGAACACTCATCTCGGGTAAAGAAATCCCTTCGCACCGGTGAATATAGACTCCTCTCACTACTCTCAATCTCCTGCCCTCATCCAGACCCAAGGAGGAGGCAAGACCCTCTCTGCTGCCTCCACAGGCCGCCCCCCAAGCTGGAGTTGCCTTGCTAAAACAAGGGCCAGTCCCCAGACTGCTTCCCCTGCCCTCCCTTACCAGATGAAATGGTTCCCAGGGCTGGGGACAAAGTCGAACTTGGTGCTGACGCGCCCACTTTCATGCTGCAGGTATGACGTCTCGACGCTGAGGTGCTGCGTGTGTTTGGCATGGTGGGAGATCCAGTTCAGCAGCCAGTGGTAGCTCTTATCCTTGCTGGGCACCTCCAAGGTGATCATGTAATGGCGCCTGAAAGCCACCAGCCCGAACTGGGCCCCTTTCCGGGCTAATGCCAGGGCCGTGCCCACCCCGACGAGGCCGAACCCAGCCCCGAAGTACGGGTTGTCCTTCAGTGCTAAGACAAAGTCAGAAACAGGCATTGTGGGAAGTTAAGCAGCTCCTTTCCACAGCATCGTCTCTGCGCTCCAGAAACAAACCTGCATGGAAAGAGAAGGACTGAATGGCAGCAGGGGACAAAATGGATCACCCACAGTTCCCTGGCCTTTATCGTAGCCAGTTCCCAAGGAGAAAGGCTGCCTGGCACACTTGGATCTCCCACATCCGTGCTCATCTTATTACGGGGGGTTCAGACAGCCGCTGGCCACACGAGCCTCCTCCCTCCCTGCAGGCCACTGGGCGAGACAGGCAGGAGGGGGTCAGGAGCTGGAGGCTCTCAAGCAAGCACAGGAGCATCTGTTGCTTCTTCAGCCGTGACAACAAGCCCAGAGCTTCATACAGTTTTATTCTTTAAACAGCTAGAAATCGTGAGCACTACAATTATTTAAGGTTTATTGTTTGAAAAAGCTGAAGTGCATCCCCAGGCTGAGCCCAGAGCTGGTTCTTTGCTGCTGGCAACGGGCGCATGACTGCGGTGGAAGCAGCATCTCCACGCCTGGATGAAGGGCACCCGCCATGCACTTAGGGAGCTTGAAGTTTCTCCAGCTCCCTCAGCAGCGGCTTGCCAGATACAGGGGGTGAGGGGGAGCCCCCCGACAGACAGACAGACAGGCTTAGCTCCCTCAGGCAGATCCCGCCTCCCCCAGACCAGGGTCTGACCCCGCAGCAAGGCCCCTTCCCGGGGCAGGGCGTCCCCGGCCCCAGGGCAGCATCCCTGCCCCGCAGCGGGGC